CATTGACTCAAACTTTTTTAGATGTAACACTTGATTCAAGGGAATTGATATATTGAAATTAAACTGATTGTTTATATTGAATTAGTAAGTATAAAAATTATTGAAATAATATAATAATAAAGAATGATAAATATAACAAATGCATATAGTATTCTAAATCCAAATCAAACCAATTTTCCGTTATCATAAACCTTTCAAAATCAAAGCAAATACAGTAAAGAAGTAGATCGATATACACCCATTAAACTAGAACATTTGTCATTAGTAAGAAAACATAAGATTCAAAAAATTCTTGAGAAATTTCGAATCGAAAGCCACAAAGTCCTAACTTCCTCCTGCCATATGTGTTTGTTGTTAAATATTTGAAACAAACATACTTATCCAAACTTCAAAACTAAATCGGTGACGGAGGAAATCAACGGAGGAAATCAATAATCGGTGGGATGTTACCAACAAATATGATTTTCAGTTCAATTATGAAAATTTCACAAGAAAATCGGAAGGAAGAATATGACCGACGAATATAAAAAATGGATATGTTAGAGATTTTTAAAATAAGAAGAATTAAAAAATATGTTTTGTAAAGGCCATTGCGTATGTTTTAGAATTTGAAGCTTAGATATGTAAAACTAAGAACATTCGCATCGGGGGGGTTTCTCCACAATGGAGAATGCGGCGAAACCCATGTCATCTTTTTATTAAAAAAATAAAATCAAATTAATGATGCTCCCAACATTTCTGCACGAGCCTTGCTTTCTTTATTTTGCCCATGTGTCCTAATTAAAATGGGACACATAGGCAAAACATTTTAATGTATTTTATTATTTATTTTATATATTTTATTTGAATTGTATTTGTGTATATTAGTATTTTTATATTTTATAAATTATTTTTATAAAATAATATTAATATTGAGAGTATTTTTTATTTAATTAAATATAATTAATCAATTATAATAAATATATATTAATAAAATTGTACCATAAAATTAAATTTTCATTTCATATTAATTTTATTGAATTTATTTATTTTTTATTTAAAGACACATAAATTTATACCATAAAATTGAATTTTCACATCATATTAATTTTTAAATAAAATAATAATAATAATAAATATTTTTTATTGTTTATAAATTAAATTATTAAATAAATAAATATGAATAAATATGTATATTAGATAAAATTTATTATTATTTAAGTTATTTTAAAAATAAATAATTTAATAATATGGAAGAAAGAGAAATTAAAATTGGTGTAAATGAATTTTTTTTATGAAGATATAAAATAAAATGAATTTTTCCGATAATGTGACGGAAATAGAATATTACGTAAAAGAGAAAAAGAGAAAGAAAGAAGAAACCATGTTAGATTTGATTGATGCTGATGACCTAAGACCATCCACAACGGGAGGCGCCTCCAACTTAGCGCCTCCCACGTCACCATTTTATTAAAAATAAAAAAATTTGTCTGACACAAGAACCAAATGCTGCGAAAATAGAGTTCTTCCCTGTAATTCTTCTTTTTGGGTGGGCCAATGTGCCTATTTTTATATTTAATAATTAATATTTAAATTATATATATCATATTTATATTAATTTGTTTGTTTTAAAGATTTTATTTAAATTTATTATATAAATTTTATTTAATATTTGTAATAATAGAAAGTTTAAATATATTTTTATTTTTATTTTAAATAGTTTTTAATGAATATTTTATAAATATTTAATCTAATATCTACTATTAATTTAATTATAATTATTGATTAAAAATATTTTTTATTAACATATATAACTTAATTAAAATTATACATAATACAAATAAAAATAAAAATACATGAAAATATTCATAAATTTAAAAATAAACTTACATGACTTGATTAAGATTACACACAATACAAATATTAATTAAAAATGCATAAAACTGTTCATAAATTTAAATGCAAACTAACGCGACCTAATTAAAATTGCAGACAATACATATAATAATTAGAAATACATGAAAAAATACTAATAAATTTGAATGCAAACTTAGGGAAAGCATTCGCGTGCCAACCTTTCTTTCACTCCTTTTTCAAAATCAGTCAGATTATCATCACCTTTATTCATTAACATCATGAGCATTTCCATCTTATTTGAAGCAAGTTGTAGTCATTTAGCATCCTGATCAATCTTCCTTGCTGTTTTTTTCCAATCTTTTAGCTTTCAGAAGTGCTTCTATTTTTTCGGATTGTTGCTTCAAACTTTGTTCCTTGAATGCTGCCATATGTTCCATACTTGAGCTAAATTCGCTGTTTTTTTTGTAAAATTTTTCATATTTTTCAGTAGGATTTGAATTGAATTCCTCGTTTTGCACCTGTTTCCCCCTCTTCTTACTTACTTTAATACCAGGGGGCGAATAGGAGGAGTTGGGTCATCCACATCAAAGTATGGTGTCGCCTAACACGAACTTGAATAACCACCATCTTCACTTATTTTCGTTCGCTTTGAACTTCCACCACTATTACGAGATGATTCGCAGTAACTGGCCTTCCATTTGGGCTCATCTCTGAGTATACGCCAAGCATCTTCATGGACGAAACCTTTCTTCTCACTGCCATTTGAATATATCTTCTTTGCTGCATTGAGGGCATCCTTGCTTGCATGTCCAAAGATTTTTACATTGAGTAACACATCTGCTCGTTGCACTTTCAGGCTTGTTCTCCATGTAATACGTTGCGATTCTTTTCCAGAAAGCACTACTTGGTTGGTCAGTGTTGGTTATGACATCCTTACTTGTGTTTAGCCATGCACTGATTAAAAGTTCGTCTTCGGTCCAGCTCCACACTTTTCTCGTATCTTTGTTTTTTGTATTGTCAGGGACATCATCATCTGCTAAATTGATAGGTGTGCAGTATTGTGGGGTGTCCATTGCTTCAGTGGCTTGCATCATGAATTGAGGAGATGATGAACTTCCGAATGCTTGAAAATTTGGAGGATAGGAGTTTGGAGGAATTTGATAATATGGTGGAGGATTGAATGGCTGAAATGGGAGATTAGATGTAGGGAACATTGGTTGATTTCCTAACATGTTCATAAAACTTGGAAATCGAAAAGAATTTTGGGGATCTTCGAGAGTTGGGATCCATTCGTGGGAAATTCAGGAGAAAATATAGAGAGAAGAAAATGAAGAGAGAAGATTATAAGGAGATGATGTAGATCATACGAAGTAAGTATGTAGTGTATTTATAGTAAACATTGCAACGGCTATATTCCTCAATTGTATGCTCAACGGCTATATATGTGTCAATTGGCAAAAACATATGCTCAATTGTATCAAGATATTGAGCACATCAACAATGAAAATGAGGGAAGCTCGCGGCAACGTCGACGGAGAACATACAGAGAGAGGAATTGTGAAGATGGCCATACTCGATTATTCAATGATTATTTTTCTGATAACCCCGTGTATCCAAGTTCTTATTTTCGTCGTAGGTTCCGAATGAGAAAGCATGTCTTTCTTCGCATCGTAGATCGACTCTCTAATGAAATGAAGTTCTTTCAGCAACGGCGTGATGCTACAAGAAGAGATGGATTGTGAGCATTACAAAAATGCACAGCAGCAATACGTGTATTGGCATATGGCACAGCTACTGACACTGTTGATGAATATCTTCGTCTTGGAGAAAGCACCACAAGGGCTTGTTTGAAGCAATTTTTTGAAGGGATATGTTCTCTATTTGGTGAGGAATACCTACGACGACCAAATTCTGCTGATATACAACGATTATTATTTGTTGCAGAGACACGTGGCTTTCCAGACATGCTAGTAAGTATTGATTGTATGCACTGGGAATGGAAAAATTGTCCGGCTGCTTGGAAAGGGCAATTCGAACGTGGAGATTATGACAAACCTATAGTTATATTAGAAGCTGTAGCATCATACGATCTATGGATTTGACATGTATTTTTTGGCACACCAGGTACATGCAATGACATTAATGTACTTGATCGATCTCCGGTATTCGATGACTTTTTGAATGGGAAGGCTCCAAAAGTTAATTTTGTTATCAACGGTCATCAATATAATATGAGATATTATCTTACTGATGGAATTTACCTTTCGTGGGCAACTTTTGTTCAATCAATTCGTCTGCCTCAAGGTTATAAAGCATAAATATTTGCGCAACATAAAAAAGTGGTTCGAAAAGATGTGAAGCGTGCCTTTGGTGTATTACAAGCTTGGTTTGTCTTCATTAAAACTTCATCACTTATTTGGGATATCAATTTACTAGGTAAAATAATGAAAGCATGCATCATATTGCATAATATGATTGTAGAAGATGAAAGAGACACTTACATGCTTTATTACGATATATCTCAATATGATCAAGTGGAGACAAGTGCTAACTCGAATTGGTCATACAACAATACGAGACATGCAACTATGGAGCAATACCTACAGAATAGAATGCGACTCTGAGCTAGGGAAACACACCATCAACTCAAAGCGGATTTAGTTGAACACATTTGGGATAAGTTTGGTCAATCGGGTATTTAATTTATTTGAAAAATATATTGTAATATTATGTATTTTTTTATTAAATTTGAGTTTGAACTTTAATTATTATATTATTATGCAAGTGTGAAATTATTATTTTTATTTATTTTATTTATTTATGCTAAACCCTAAACCCTAAATAATTGTTTTATTTTTTATTAAATATTATAAGAATATAATATAATTGAAAAATATAATTTTATCTTATAAATATATAAAATATTTAATAATGTGGAAAAAATAGAGATTTTAAAAGATTCTTTGATGTAGATATAAAATATAATTAGAGTTCTTTGTGATAGAGAAGAGAGAAACTGACAAGTCGCATAATGCATAATGCAAGCAGAAAAAAGAATAAAAAGAAACCGTCTATGGTTATCTAGATTGCGGATGGCCTAAAGCAAATTCACCTTGACACGTAATAAAAATAAAAGCTTTTTTAGGCTGAGCCATTGTATTTGCTCTCGTAATAGCAAGATTGCAGCAGGGCGGGCGGAGTGAGGCATATTTGGTTGAAGTCTTGAAGGGGTGTTGAGTAGCGTTGTCATTCATAATTCCGTAGACGAGCGAGCATGAGCCTCTCTGTCCCCTCGCATATTCTCAGCCTCAATGCCAATACCAATGCCAATGCCGATGTTCTTGCCGCCTCCAAATCCTGTACTCACCCCTTTTTTTCACCTTCACCTATTCATTTCACTAAACGGATTCGTCGCTTCCCAACCCTTAGAGTATGGGCGCGCGGAGGAGGAGGAGGAGATGACACTGTCATTTCCCCGGTCAAGTCCCTTCGGCGCCTTCTCGCTTCACCCGGAATTCACTTAGCTCCTGCTTGTTTCGACGCCCTAAGCGCCAAGCTCGTCGAGAGAGCTGGTTTTGATTTCTGCTTCACTACTGGTATTGCCCATTCTTCACTTCTGCTTACTCCTAGAACTGAACCTAGAATGTTCAATTAGATGGACAGGGAAAAGGGCTTCAAAATAAACTCTGTGCCTGTCTTCCGCGGATCAGCGGGGATGGGCTTCTTTAGTTGTCTGGGATACTCGTGGCAAGTGATACCTTGCGTTTTTTGTTAATTTATTCTAGGGTTTACTTTTTCCCATTCATTGTCCGTTCATTTATTAAAGAATTGCTGTGTCTGTCCCGTCCCGCCACTGGTCCTTTTGAATTTCTGTGACATGTTTAACTCTTATTATATACAATCACAAGTTGCTTAACTTATGTAGCCAGGAAAATGAGGAATGTGTAGTAAACTTATATGATTGTGTAAGTAAGAGTAGGGCAAAGGTAGTGGCGTCTTAAAAAAGCTGTGTTCTTTCAGTCACCATGTACATACTTGATATTTAAATTCCTTATGTTCTCCACATAATCATAGAAGACCTAATTGTAACAGATGACTTTTTGTGGAATGAACATCCTCTGATTCCTCTCCCACCCTTGTATATAGCTGCAGCTTGCAGAAGTTCTGTTCAAATCTCCTGTTTCATCTTTGTATCTCAAATCTAGTGCTGAGAGTTCTTGTGTTCAAATGCCTGCAACTCTTTTATTAAAAAGTGTCCTGCCTGTAATTTTGGTAATCAGAGCGTCGTTTACTTATGAGAGGATGTGGATGAAATGTGAATAAATATAAAGTGATATGCTATCCTTTTAGTTTAACTATCTAGGAAAGGTGGTTGCTTCATTTTGTACCTTGATATTGTCTGCTTCATAACATAGGAGGGGCTTATAGAAATAGTTGATTTGTTTGAACTTGTCTATATTGGAAAAAGCAAGGTAATAGTTCATTATTTTCTTTCAGTCATTGAAACCATTTGCAGCTGAAATTTGTATGCTGATTTGGCTGTTAGGCTTGCTGCAATGTTGTTTAGTGTGATATAACTTTCTCATAATAATCTCCATTGGGAATATCACATTTAGAAGAAATATCTGCCGCATCACATCTTTCATAATTTTAAAGACTGGCTTTACTTTATTGTTATCTAAAGTTTTTACAATATTTCTCAATTTCATGTAGAACTGGTGGTATCACATGAATCCAGATTTTTTGAATCTCTATTTTTATCAGCTTGCTTCTATACAATGAACATGCTGTTGGAGAAAACAATGATGCTTTTTCAATTCTTAGGTTTCGGAATATCAGCTGCCCGGTTGGGACTGCCAGACACTGGATTTATTTCGTATGGAGAAATGGTGGATCAAGGACAACAAATTACAGGAGCTGTTTCCATCCCCATCATTGGTGATGGAGATAATGGATATGGTAACCCAATGAATGTTAAGAGAACTGTCAAAGGATATACTAGAGCTGGCTTTGCTGGAATCATTCTTGAGGATCAGGTTTATATTGCTGATGTTCCTCGTTTTGTTAATTTATACACTTGATATCTCCCTCAAATTGCCTCTCACGTTTGTGATGTAGCATATTTGGATTTTCCTTGGCATATGTGGATGTACTCAGTATTTATAGATGTATTTGTCTCCAAACTAAAATTTTTGTTGTGGTCAGTTTTAGAAATCAGTTGGATTACAGTTGAGCTTTCTTCCTTTGCTTATTGTTGCTCTTTCCAAGGTTTCACCTAAAGCTTGTGGTCATACACAAGGGCGGAAAGTTGTATCTAGGGAGGAAGCAGTAATGAGAATAAAAGCAGCTGTTGATGCTCGTAAAGAGAGTGGATCTGACATTGTTATAGTGGCACGGACTGATTCACGTCAAGCCATGTCATTAGAAGAGTCTCTATGGAGGGCACGTGCTCTTGCTGATGCTGGAGCTGATGTTGTATTTATTGATGCTCTTGCTTCAAAAGCAGAGATGAAGGCCTTTTGTGAAGTTTCTCCAGCCATTCCAAAAATGGTATTGCATCTTCAATTTTTAATCCTCTAGTTTCAAGTTAAAAATACCTCCAATACTAATATTATCTGTAAAAGAATTTCATTTGTTTTTTAACTCTCTCTGGATATCAATGACATGGGAAATAAAATGGTTGGGAAAATTTAATCGGTTAAAGTGGAAATTTTAGTATTTTGTTACAAAATGGATGTAGAATAATATGGATGCCGGATAACTGGATGTTTCCATGCCGTTATGGGCATGCTTGGTAAGTTGGTTGAATCCTGTGTTTATTCTAGTATCAATAAGTCTTTTATCATTACAACTTGGGAATTCTGCTTATCCAAATAAGTGATCAATTTACGGGCAAGTTCTAGCTTAGAAAATCGATTACTTTGATGGTCCATTGGCTGTTTTTTTGAGGCATCTCTTTGATATGAAATCTGAGTAGTTTCAGTTTTCTGTTGAACATCTTGGCATTTGATCTGATTCACCATACTTTCATATCTTGTTGAGATAGTGGTTTTAATTTTGTTGACCTATATCGCTTTCTACATCGCATGATGGAATGTTTAAGCATTTCAGAGCTTAACTTTATCTTTCTTTATTCTGAATAAGCTTTTCAATTATGTTATTTGTTATTGTGAGAAACTATGTGAAATGATCTTTTTTGAGGAAACAAATATTTTGTTGTTCTTTTTTCCTCTGTGCAGCCAGAGATCCCATAATTCATGGGATAAGATAGATAATCATTTCATTTTTTTTACTAGAAAGTTTTGTATAAAAGGCTGGCCTATCCGTATTTAAAATACAGTTTTTTGACAGACTTTCTCTCATTTAGTTATCCTTTTCTTCTGTTCAAAATCTAGGATGGTATCGGAGCAGTTCTTTCTTGGGAACTATTCTTGATTTTACTACTTTTCTCTCCTTGGTTCAACCAGCCTTAAATGGTTTTCTAGAATCTTTTCTCAAAGTTTATTAGTCCTAATCACTGGAGGCTGCTACGGATCCAAATACGAAGTTGCTTTCTGCATAGGGGAGCCTTTGACTGATGTTGGACGACATAGAAGGCTAGTTGGAAAGTTCAATTATCTCACTATCATCTGTAAGTGTGGTGAGTTAATTCCTTCAATCTTCATGTGACTTTCATTGGAAGACACTAATGCGCATTTTGCTGTATATCAAAGGATCTCTCCTAAAAGGCTTACTTTTAGCGCTGAGACTGAGTATCATACTATGGCCTTAGCTCCATGTGAGCTTTTTTGGATTAAACTATTACTTGTGAACTCAAATTCTGTTGGATATTTAGATGTTGATTGGGTAGGGTGACTAGGGTCTGTAGTTGATAGATATTCTACCTCTTGTTATTGTATTTGTTGGAGATAATTGATATCTAGGAAGAGTAAAAAGCAAAATGTACTTGCACGTTCTAGCGTTGAGGTTGAGTATCATACTATGGCCTTAGCTACGTATGAGCTTTTTTGGACCAAAAATATTCCTTGTAAACTCAAATTGTGTGAGGTGATGAAGTTGTAGTGTGATAACTAGACAATAACATTGCATGAAACCCAATGTTTTATGAATGAATGAAGCAAATTGAAATAGATTGTTACTTCACGAGGAAAAAGTGTTATATGGATGCATAGATACAAATATGTGTCTTCATATGATCAACTTGTAGAAATATTAACAAAAGCCATAAGAGATCCTAGATCATAAGTCATTTGCAGCAAGCTTGACTTGTACGCTCCAACTTAAAAAGAAGTGTAAGATTTATATCTATATATAATTTAGATAGATTTGATAAGGTTAAGATTATTATTATGATTAGATATTAATTTTTTTTGTTAAGATAGATGATCTATAATGACTATGAGCCCGTTTGGATTGATTTAAAAAATAAGTAGAAGTCAAAAGTAGAAGCAGTTTAATTTTGTGTTTGGATGAGTCTATAAAAAAAGCAGCTTTCATAAAAAAGTATTTGGATGTAACAGAGTTGAAAGTGCTTTTAAATTGTTAATATAATAGTATTTTTTCTATAAAACTTTTATAATTTATTTTTAAATTTTATTAATTATATTTAAAGATTTTAAATTATAGTATAAAAAATATATTTTTAAAATTTAGTTATTTATATTTTAAAATTTTAATTTAAGGATAATATATAATTAAAAAATAAAATTTACAATCCAATATTAAATTATTTGTATTTTAAAATTTATTTTAAAATTATATAAATTATATTAATAATTTTAGTATAATTAAAAAATTATATATTCCTATTTAAATTTGGTATCTTAATTATAATTTTAAATTTTAAATTTTAATTAAAATATAACATATAAATTAGAAATAATAATTTATTTTTTATTAAAATATAATATATATAAATTCTTATATTATATATATAAATGAATTGTTTTTATATTATATTGTATTATTGTATTGTATTTATTATTATTATTATTATTATTATGGATAGAACAATAATTTCGACTGAAAAGTGCTGCTTAAGGTGCTTCTGAAAAAAACGCTTTTCAGCCTAAAAGACTGCTTCTACTTTTGGTCAGAAGCCAATGCAAACAGGTAGAAAATATGTTTTTTAAAGCAGAAGCCAAAAGTTCCTACCAAAAGCCAATCCAAACAAGGCCTAAGTATCTTCATTTTTTTTTTCTTTTTATTGAGATAAAAATAATTTCCCTTTATTTTCTTTTTATTGAGATAAAAAAGTAGGCAATAAATGGGCTTAGACCCGAAAGAAAGAGTAGCTGTTAGAGAGCAACACCAAGATGGACAAGGAATCGAAATGCAAGAGGAAGAGGAGCCTCGCCCATTACTGGTGTATCGACGACGGGGACAGGCTAAGACCTGCTATTCGCGGGTTTAGACTTATTTACATATCTTTCTAATTAAGACATTATAATTGGATTTGGGCTTGGACTTTTATTATTGAATGGGCTTTATTTTCAATAAGTTAGTAGGAGTATTTAAAGAGGCATCTAGGGTTTGAAGACATTATTCTTGATATGAATAAATAAAGAGCCCAGTGGCTTTTGGCCAAACAATTGGTTTCGTTTGATTGTTTTCTATTGCTTGTTTATGTGTTCTACCAATTGGTCCGACCTGCCGGATTCCGATCCCGTTGTCATGGTAACAACACGATCTGCAATAGAGCGACTGGACAAACTTGAAGTTGATCAAGCTGAGATGAAGGAGAATATGAAGACGACTAACATCCAATTGGCAAAGATCATGACGACTCACTGAATTCTCGAAAGTGATTCTAAAACCCTCTGGATTGCAGCAATCGGCGACAGGCCACTAAGTGGAGAATAGCGCGACGGCGGAGAGTGGCACATCGCCGCACCACTGCAACCAACACGGCTGCCCCCGGCCGCGGTGCCACTACAGCCGGCGATTGACTCCCGATTGCAGTCGGGCCATATGCAACTTCCATTCTTTAATAGTTCGGATCCAATAGGATGGTTGACCCATGTGAATCAACAGTTTGAAATTCATAACACCAGTCCGGAGTTAAAGGTGCTTGCAATAGTGGTGGCTATGGAAGATGCTGTATTATACTGGTCAACCTGGTTACGCTCGCGCAAATCGGGACTGATATGGGAAGAATTTTCGCAAGCGCTGGTAGCGAGATTTGGTACGCGCTGTAGGGAGTCCCTTCAAATGATTGACAGACATTAAACAAGAAGGATCTGTGGACGATTATGTAACGCTATTTGTAAACTGGCTAGCCAAGTTTCGGGTTTGACAGATGCACACTACCTCGAATACTTTATGAAGGGTTTAAAGGATTTTATCCGAAATTCACTTTGTCTTCTTAGACCCGGAGACCTCGAAACAGCCATGGAATTGGCTAGGGCTATTGAGGATAATATCGAGGTGCAGGCTAGTGGCTGCGCATTCCGAAGTTTCAACAGTCACGCACCGCGCGCGAATCTCATGTCTCGACCAAATCCCTCGAACACGAGCATGTTTAGAGGGGGAGCCTCACTGCATCCACCGGTAGTATTTCCAAGCCTCCGATCGAACCCTCCCAGCACGGCCGATGACGACCAGTCAATCGACATGCCGTCTCCGATTTACTCGCCTATCACCCTAAGATTTGGCCGATCTGATGGCAAAAAGGTTGTGCTTTTGCTGCAAGAAACCATATTCACCGGGACATGAAGGTCCCCTTAAACAACTGCGAGTCATGATTGCTGAAGAGGGAGAAGCGGTCTTGGACCTTTAACAACATGAGTACTATGAACCCACTAGACAGGATGGTCGGAAGAACAAACAGATGCACTTACTGAAGGGGGTACCTTACCGGTTTTCTCTATGGCGGGTTTATTAAGTCCGCGGACTATGCGCCTGCTCGGGGTTATGCAAGGAAGGCCAGTGACAATATTGATCGATAGTGGTACTAGCCATAACTTTATATCTTCCTTAGTATCCGACTTGCGACTACAACCCGACCGTACATGAAGATTTGGAGTTCAGTTGAGGGATGGGCAGAGGCCGGAATTTGCAGAAGTGTGTCGGGGTATTACGGTCTCTTTATCCGAGTGCTAGGTAACCATCGATTGTTTTGTATTTCCACTTGGAAGGGTTGATATTATTTTGGGCATAGCCTGGCTGGTCACACTTGGATCCTACATATAAACTTCAACCTAGAATATTTGAGTGTGTATCCTTTGTGCATGTTCATAGTAATGAAATGAGAAAATTGGACCTTAGGGCTATCAAATGTGTATTCTTAGGGTATTCTACCACACAAAAGGGATACAAATGCTTTCACCCCTTATCAAAAAGATTCTATGTGTCAAGAGATGTCACCTTCAACGAACAAGAAAGCTACTTCAAGCAGCCTCATCTTTGGGGGGATAATGTAAGTGTTAGTTATATTATCTATAGAGGTATTTTTGTATTTATAATAGTATGAGGGCAGTTTAGGTATTTTGTATAGTTTTAATATATTAGGGTTTTGTATATTTTAAAATCATTCTTTATTTTGACGTTAA